AAAGGACATGAACAGAAACTTCAAAAGAAGACAGAATAATGGCCAGCAAACATATGAAAAAGTACTCAACATCTCTAATTATTAGCGAAATGCAAATCAAAACCACAATGAGATATCACCTAACTCCAGCGAGAATGGCCTTTATCAAAAAGTCCCAAAACAACAAATGCTATCATGGATGTGGAGAAATTGGAGCACTCTTACACTACTGGTGGGACTTCAAATTAGTACAACCTCCATGGAAAGTAATTTGGAGATATCTCAAAGAGCTAAAAATAGAAATACCATTTGACCCAGCAATCCCACTACCAAAGGAAAAAAAAGACATTCTATAATAAAGACATCAGCACTCGAATGTTTATGGCAGCACAATTCACAATTGCAAAGATGTGGAAACGACCCAAGTGTCCACCAATACATGAGTGGATTAATAAAATGTAGTATATGTATACTATGGAATACTACTCAACTACAAAAAAGAATGGTGAACCAGCACCTCTTGTATTATCCTGGATAGAGCCTGAGCCCATCCTTTGAAGTGAGGTATCATAAGAACAGAAAAACAAGCACCACATGTACTCACCATCAAATTGGTACTAACTTATCAACACTAAGGTGCTCACATGGTAGTAATATTCATTATTCATTCAATATTCATTCAATATTCATTATTCATCACCCTGTCCTCATTCTTTTTTGTTTTTATTTCATAACATTATGGGGCTACAAATGTTTTGATTACATGTTTCGCTTTTGTGCAGGTTGAGTCAAAGTCATAAATGTCTCTAGTTAGCCATCTTGGCTCCCTCTCCCTGTCCTCATTCTTAATGGCTCCAATATCCATGGCCACGGTCAATCCAACATCCTCACCTCTCCATATTCTAAACACCTCCTTCCTGTAACCTATTCACATCCATCCCGTTTAAAACATCTTGTCGTCACCCACAATGGCATCACCTCCAAAGTCTGTTGCAAGACCACATTGCTTGACCCTTACTTCTGATTTTATACTAACTTTTCCTAGTGCCTCAACTCCAGGGACTCTCCGACACCATCCTGACTTCTAGTATCTTGACTCAACATAGCTCATTGACCACCACTTCCTACTTCCATCCTTGCAAAGATCCATTGTAATTACTACCCTGCACATACCCTCCACCCCTTTGCCACATTCTCCTCTGCCAACTTGCCAGACAAAATCCCACCTGGTTAAATCCACCTCTCACACACTCCGTGCTTGTTCCTAGAGAGCTGAGTGTC